AAAAAAAAAATACATATATAAAGCCCTTCGTAAAGTGTGGGCTGTACTTGTCAGAACAATTTTTTGTATCTCCTTGAGGCATGGACTTCCAGGAATCCCTTCAATTAGTCTACTGCAATTTTTTCCAACCAGTCCTAGGGCTCCAACTACAACAGGGATTGTTAATGTTCCCATATGCCACATTTTCGCGATTTCTATTTCAAGGTCCTTGTATTTTGACAGCTTTTTGAATATCTTCAAAGATAGATTGCAGTCAGCAGGGACTGCCATATCAATAAGGAGGCACCGTTTTTGTTTGTGGTCTTTAATAACAATATCTGGGCGGTTGGATTTGATCGTTCTGTCAGTGTGTATTGTGTAGTCCCATAGAATTGTAACAGGTCCTATCTCCGTAACCGGGTCTGGGTGGTGTTCATACCAGTTTCTTTCAGTTTCCTTCCCGTAGAAGTTGCAGATTTTCCAGTGCAGATATTGGCCCACTCTGTCATGTCGGGTTTTATATTCAGTGGGTGCCAACATCGTGCAACCTGATACAAGTTGTTGTTGTTGTTGTTATTATTATTATTATTATTATTATTATTATTATTATTATTTCTGAAACAGTAGCTTCTAAAATTTTTATATATGGAAAAAATTCTCATTCTCAGAAAATACGTCCAAGTAAATAAAATAAAAATTGTGCATTTTTCATTGTCACGTTGGAGTTTTCTCTATCTGAATGTCTGGAATGAGGAATTATTATTTACATTATTTACATTCGGACTATTGTTCGCGTCTTTGTGATAACGACAATAAAATTAGAGACAGGAGTCCGAATGTAAATAGCGTAAATAACACGTTTTCCGTTTACCAAAGCAGGACCCATTCAACGTATTTCTACGTTCACCCGAGCGAGTTACTGACAATATACGCCTGCAATGATGGTCCTTCACGATTCCATTAATTCGTAATGGACAGCAACTTTCATATTCTAGTAGATAAAGAGCATGGACTTCTGCGGAGGGGATTTTATGTGCTGGAACTTGTCTCTCATTTTGTGAGGAAAAACTGTACCTTCCATTTTCTTTTGACAACACACTGTGAAATACGTCATTACTTTCGGAACACACTAATATATTTTCACTTTAAATTTTGAATTTCTCAATGTCAAAATAAAATGACAAAAAAGTAAATTGTTTTGCTTTTCTTTCTTTAATATTTATTCTTCTTTGCTATTAAAAGATTTTTTTATGGATTCGTACACGTTTTACTACAGGCGTGTATCTGTGTATATTTCTTAAAGTTTTTTTAATTTTAATTTGTACACTCTTCGAATCAGTTTATGTTAGGCGTGAATTGGAGGGGAACATCATATTTTTTAACACCACTCTCTCTCTCTCTCTCTCTCTATATATATATATATATATATATATATATATATATTATAATTTTATCATATAGACAAAACCATTTTACTCACTACAAAGATGCAACTTGGTTTCAGTGCATTTCAACTGCATTTCGATGGGTGAGAATCGAAAATGGTTATGAACAATCCTGCTTGTAGGCAAGCCGTATGTGAAACGCCACTTCTGGTTGTAGATGTTATTTCCTGCTTATCCGTTGTGTATTTTTTGTTCTGTGTTCCGTGTATATCGTCCAGTGATCTTTGTAGTGGGTAAACTGTTTTTATCTTTATGATAAAATTATAATAAATAAATAATTATCGCTCTACTATCGGTATCGAGCCCTCTTTTGGATTAATACTGTGAACGTTGGAATTTATATTACTTTCGTTCTCATTGCATCAGGTATATATATATATATATATATATATATATATATATATATATATATATATATATATATATATATATAATAAATCTGTCGGTATATAATCCAGTGAATCTTAATAATAAAAATATTAAAACTGATTCACAAAATGAGCTCATAGTATTTATTATAACAGAGCATATAAATTACACAGCAAAATCTAAAATTACCTCATATGGGTGTGCATAGATCTATTTCAACCAACAAGAAAACCGTTTGTCTTATTCAACCCCGGTATATAGACTGTGTTTGTGTCGGAATTAGAATTTTAAAATTTAACTTTTGCCAGCAGTCGAAAATATATATATAGAGAGAGAAGACGAAAGCCCCTCTCATTATTTATGTATATATAAGGAGAGAGAGAGAAAGATCGCCCTCTATAACTCTCTCTCATATATATATATAGATATATATATATAATGAAGCGGATTAAGTCCGACAATTATTTTAATATATTTTGTGATGTCAACGAACACTCGGTTAACACTTTATTAATGCACGTTGTATCAGAGACTTTGTAATCGCTGATACAACCATAGTACGCCGTTGAACAATACTGGTGTCAGATGCCTTCGAATATCACTCCTACTAATAGTACTCGCTCGATAATACTCGAACAGTAATCCATATAGTAATCCGAATAGAGAAATAGTGTAGTGAATAATGTAGAGAATAGCGGTTCATATAGTATTAGAGGATAGAGTAGGAATGAGGGATCCGTATAGAAATAGAGGATAGAATAGAAATAGTGATCAATCTAGACGTCACGGGACTATATATGCGTTTCCTCTATGGTCACGTAATCTACTTAATTCAATAATGGAGTCGTCTGTATTTGCTGACCAATTGTCTAAGTTGAAACTCAAATGTCTACAGCGACAATTTATTCTTATATATTTTCTATTTCGTGAGCAGAAATAATCCTTGGCGAAAAGTCGTCGAAGGTTTGTGCGTTTATAAACAATAATTCAGATTTTTGATAACATATTTTAAATATTTATGTTGTTTGGACTGTTGTCCTCATCTGCATTGCCATATTCAGGACGTTTCAAAATTTTTGTTTCCACTGCTGAGTCCAGGTATTGAACTCACAGTCTCTTTTGGATTACTCAGCCAACGCTTTTATCTACTGGGCCATGTGTCCTTTAGGCAGTTACTAAGGGGATGTAACTGAAACTGGGTTATCAAAAAGGCATGGCACGTAGAACTAGAACAATCTACCTCCGTAGATTAAATAAAGGTTAGGTTCGAAAATTCCAACAAATATCATCTGAAGAAGGCCGGAACGTACAACGACTGAAACGTCGTGAATACGGCAATAAAGATGAGGACAGCAGTCCGAACAATGTAAATAATGTTAATAGTTACAATGCCTCATCTCAGAAATATAGACAGATCCTGAAGAAGGCCAGAGCGTACAACGGCCGAAACGTCGTGAATATGGCAACGAATATTAGGTCAACATCCCGAACAAGGAAAATATTGTAAATAATTACAATCCCTCATCTCAGAAATATAGACATATCCTGAAGAAGTCCGGAGCGTACAATGCCCGAAACGTCGTGATTATGTCAATAAAGATGAGGACAATGCAAATATCGCTAACAGTTACAATGCCTCATCTCAGATTATTTTTTTAATTTTTTTTTTTTTTTTTTAGCCATTTTACCTCAAGCAAGGCAGAAATGCCACTAGTACGCAGGGGGTTACAGAGAGTGAAAGTGATAGAAAAATTGGGTATAAAGTGGAGGGGCATGAAAGGATAAAAGCTGGACGGGGTTCAAGAAATTGACGGTGCATTTAAATTATTGAAGATTGTAGTTATCAAGAAAGCTATTAAACGGTTCCACAGTCTGGATGTGCGAGAAAAGAAACTGTTGGAGTAGAAGTGGCGGTTATATTTAACTATTTCAACAGTAAACGGGTGGGACCTAGCTGCCAATCTAGTAGCACGCTTAAATTCATATAGTCGGGGCGCCAGGGAGAAAACTTCGTCAGAGCAGATGCTATGAAAATATTTGTAGAAAAGACAGAGGGAAGCCATGTCATGCCGGTGAGAAAGTGACTGAAGTCAAGATGCCAGGTCAGGATCGGTTACATTGCAGATCCTTCTTTGGATTTTGTCAAGAATCTCATGAGGTACAACAGGAACACAAGACCATATATGGCAGCGGTATTCAATGCATGGGCGCATGGTAGATTTGTATTATATTTTAAATTGGAGTTTCTGGCATGTCACTTAACAATGTATTGAGAAACAGAAAAATTTCATTAGAAAAATTGAACTTCTATGTAATATAAATTCCTTTAGATGGCTGTGAAATATGAACCATTTAGGCAAAATAGACTTATTTCAGCTTACGTCCACATCACATCGAAACACCGTTAAGCAACGTTGAGCCTGGTCAGTACCGGATGAAATAATGGGGGCTGCTGTCTGAGGTGTTAGGTGGCCAGATATAATGGGAGATGTGGTCGTAGAAATTGTCTGACAGCCATGACTGAGTTACATCTCGTTGAATTACCTAAAAATAATTTTCTAAGTGTTGCTTAGATGTGACACAAAGCCGAAAGTATGTAGTCCGCAGTGAGGATCGAACACACTATTCAGTCGTAATTGATTTAGTGAGACAAGATTGTTAACCATTACAGTTTTCCTGCTTGTGTGACATGGTTCAGAGTCTTGCTGCTAGATTTAGGATTTTCCATCAGCCAGCCTCTTATTGACACCCAAACAGGCGCCAATGCCAATAGTCATTTTTCAGTGTTGTTGTTGTTGTTGCTAGGGGATGGGGCTTCTTGATAGAATTTTGTTTCAATTTGTTTTTCGAATTACATGTGATATCGATTTTAGGTTTTGTTGCTGTTGAGAGTTCTTATGTAATGTGGTTTCTGTTATTTGGTACAATTCTTTGTTTATGATTCTGTAGCGCCAGTCTACCAATTACAAATAAGACGAATTTCGCTATGACCTACAGGCATCTTTCGCAAGAGCAGACCAGTCTTCACTTTCCAGTTTCCGTAGAGTTCGAAAGTGTCTCTGCGTCCTTGTGGGTGATGAATTATTTTCCACCCAACAACCCCTTTCCCCATAGGCGAAAAGTCACAAGCCTCTTGCATCTCTATCGTTATTTCCACGGAAAGTCTTTAGACGAACTATATTCCTTCTATCAGTCCTAATCTTCAGGCTTGCGGCCACATCAGGTGGAAACACCGGTTTATGTACGATCACTGAAGTTAAGCAACGTCGAGCCTGGTCAGTAGCTAGATGAGTAACTGCTTCGGAATTCCAGGTACTGTAATCTTGGATTTGCGGTTAGGGTAATGGATAATGGCTCGGGATTGTTAATCGGAGATCAGAGTTCCAATTCCTGTTGGGTTCATTAGATTCACTTACACGCAAATACCCTTGAGAAAGGCATGAATCTACTTCTTCCCTCCAGCTATGGGTTAATTAGTAAGACTTGTTTTGCTAAACCATTATTAACTAAAAAATAAAATTCTTACAATCTAAAAATAGTTCCTGGATCTAAATGACAAGAAAAGTATTGAGAAGCCGTAGAAAACGAATAAACCAATCAGAGATGTGGTTCTACAGGAGGATCGGGAGAATACCACGAACAGAGCATGTGAGAAACATAGTGTTATAGTGGAACACACCTATTCTATAGTTAATAGACTCTCCCACCTATAATAAGTAGAAGTAGTAATAGTAAGAGTCAGTCGAGGAGTTGGTCAGTCAGTCGATGCCGGACGACCGTTAGTCGGATACTAAAAGTATCAGCGACCACCACTAGATTTCTCTGCGTCATTACCTATTATATCAAGTTCCTAACGTTTTGTACGTCGAACCTATTTTAGGACCGACTTAGTACAAATAGAAGCCTCCACTGTGAAACTACTCTATAACACATGGCGACGAGGTATTCGAACTCATACGGAGGAAGAAAAATTTTCGTTCACTCTACAACACATAGAAATTCTAAGGACAATAGAAATAAAAGGACACTTAGAATCAGAAACGGATAGTTGACATTTCTGGGATACATATTGAGGAAAGAGGGCTTAGCTATTTTGATTCACACAAGAGATATAGAAAGCAAAATGTGCAAACGAAAAATATTCTTATTGCTGGTCCCGACCCCCCTCAGCAGACGACTTCGGTTTCACAAGACTTGATTATTATGTTATTATCTGGTACAGTTTTCTCATAGTTTTCTTTCTCTTTTGTTTATTGTTTTGAGGATTTTAATTTCGAAATCATTGGAGGAAAATATTGTTTATTTTGCCTTTGCAAAGGTTAAAGATACATAGAAAAAGGTAACCAAAAAAAAAATGGTACAATGGAAGAAAGAAGAAAGGCTTGGCGGTAGAAGTGAAGAATGAAAAGAGAGAAAAAGAAATTTATGGAAGAAAGTTATAAAGAACGCCTTCAGGTGTACACGAACGAAAGAACGAAAGAAATAAAGAAATAAAGAAAGAAAGAAAGAAAGAAAGAAAGAAAGAAAGAAAGAAAGAAAGAAGGAAGGAAAGAAAGAAACAAACAAACAAACAAACAAACAAACAAAGAATACAAGTCAGAGAGTAAAAGAGTAATACAATGAAATATATAAAAAGAAGGGGAAAAGAGAAAGGGGGACAAATCGTAAAGAGAGTAAAAGACGTATAGGCAGGCATGGAGAAAGAAAGAAAGAAAGAAAGAAAGAAAGAAAGAAAGAACAGAACAGAACATAAAATCAAAAGGGCATGAAAGAAAGAAAGAAAGAAAGAAAGAAATAAAGAACAGAAGATAAAATCAAAAGGGCAAGAAAGAAAGAAAGAAATAAAGAAATAAAGAACAGAAGATAAAATCAAAAGGGCAAGAAAGAAAGAAAGAAAGAAAGAAAGAATACAAGTGAGAGAGTAAAAGAGTAATACAATGAAATATATAAAAAGGAAGAGAAAGAGGGAGAAATCGGGAACAGAGAGATAGACGTAGAAGCAAGCATGGAGAAAGAAAGAAAGAAAAAAAAAAGAAAGAAAGAAAGAAAGAAAGAAAGAAAGAAAGAAAGAAAGAATACGAGTTAGCGGAGACAGTGAAAGAATAATATAATAAAATATATAGGAAGGAAGAGGAAAATGAAAGAGGGAAAAAAACTGGAAGAGAGAGACAGACATAGAGGCAGGCATGTAGAAAGAAAGAAAGAAAGAAAGTGTTGAGTGGTTCTCACCTTTTTATACAAATGGACTCACCCAGTATATACATATACTACGGCTACATGAAAACCCGAGAGAGCAAGTCCGAAGAGTCGAGTCCAGAGTGACAGAGTAAAAGGTTGTAGGTAACTGTAAGAGTGAGGGTGAGATAACAGCATTGTAGGAGTTTGTCTATATTTCTGAGATGAGGTATTATGTACAGTATTTACATTAGTCGGACTACTGTCCTTCTTTGGGTCTGGACACATGGCACAGTGGATAAAGGCGTTGGTTAGATCCAGTGACAGACTCAAAGAAGGTGAGTTCAATTCCTGGTTAAGGCAGTGGAGAACTTTCAGAGGGAAAATTAGCAGGAGATAACTGATAACTGACATCCATCAAACATGGCACGTGGAATTAGAACAGTCTACCCCAGTGATCGAAATAAAGGGTTCAGTTCGAAATTCCAACCACCTGAAGAAGGCCGGAGCGTACAACGGCCCGAAACGTTGTGACAAATATGGCGACAAAGATGAGGACAGTAGTCCGACTAATGTAAATACTGAGCATTGTAGGAATCACAGTGAGCGAGCACGTAGACTCAGTTAAGAAGTCATACAGCGATACTTCAATACCAAAGACTGTATAGATATTTTGCTACTAACCCGCATTCCTGGAACTACTAACCTGCATTACCAGTTTGTATTATTACGTTAATACCTTATTTTCCTATATTTATTCTTGACGTTTGTTATTTATTGGTACCGGATTTCATCCCGGAATCCACAACAGAAAGAAAGAAAAGAAAACGAAAGAATACAAGTGAGAGAGTAAACGATTAATACAATGAAATATATAAAAAGGACGAGGAAAAGAGAAAGAGGGAGAAATCTGGAACAGAGAGACTGACACAGAGGCAAGCATGGAGAAAGAAAGAAAGAAAGAAAGAAAGAAAGAAAGAAAGAATACGAGTGAGCGGAGAGAGTAAAGGAGTAAGGAGAGGGAGGGATAGTATAAATAAACGTTGCTAAGAGCTTCAAAGAATAGTACGTTGTGGGGTAGGGTTATAATTATCCGTCCTTAAAGAAAACGTCATATAAAAGAAAATAATCTTTATGTTGGTCATACAACTACAACACTATCGTTTTTACTAATCTGTCATATCCGATTGTAGATCTCAAAAACGTATTACTAACCAACACTAAAATAATAATTCAAAATATGTAATAATTCTAGTTACTATAATCATGAAGTTTTTCATTTGTGTGTCGTCAGGACGTGGGCGATAATACATCTTCACAGCTTTCCACTGTCGTAATATAGTTTCCCTTGGCCTGTTCAATAAATATTTTCACGGTAGTTATTCTGATAAGCTCTCACCCTTCGTAGCTCCATTATGTTGGCAGCTAGGTTTTAGAATTCCGCTGTAGAAATAGCTAGCTATAACCGTTATTCCAGTTCTATTTGTTTTTTTCTCTCGCACTACTCGCGTGTGGAATGCTCTTCCGGATTCTTGTCTTCCAGTCAACTACGATTTTAATGCAATGTCAATCGTCATTTTCTGTCTACTTCAATTATTTTGTTGTTCTCTCTGTTTAATTAATTTGGTAACCACTTGCGTCTTAGTGGCTTTATTGTCTTGCTTGGAAGTAAAAATGAAAGTTTTCGATTCTTCCAGGTTTTTTATTTTTTTTTTTTTTTTTGCTTACGGCAAATCACGTTCAAACACCAGATTCCGTACGATCACTGAAGTTAAGCAATGCCGAACCTTGGATTTTCTGTGGTGTAATGAATAAAGGAACGAATAATTGGTGGAGTAACAGACAGCGGTTTGGTTTGAAGAGAGCCGAGTTCGAATTCTAGTCGGGTCCATTACATTCACTTACGTGCTAATACGCTTGGGAAAGATATGAATCCTCTTCTTCTCCCCTAGCTATGGGTAAATAGGGGAAGAGATTGGGTTCTATAGCTTTTGGTGACAACTGGTCTAGAAAGAAACTGAAACCGGCCACGAGAGGAATGGGCTCCGTCAGGTTATCTTGCCGAAAAAAACACCGCTTCTACTGTGGCTACGACTCAAATGGTTCACAGGATTAGCGATCGCGAATGGATAATGGCTCGTAATAGCGTTTACACTCAAATACCCTTGGGAAAGGCATGAACGTCTTCTTTCCCCGGCTCCGGGTTAATTAGTAAGATTTGTATTCCTCAATCATTATTACATTCTAAAAATATTTTCTGATTTTAAAAAAATTAAATCTTATCAGAGATTTGGTTCTACAGTCTTGAGAATACAAAAAAAAAAAAAGACATTTGCTCCTGCAAATATTTCGCTTATGATATGTGAGAATATCTAGAGCGAGAGAGGGGGGTGAACTAATATTAATAGATAAGAAGAGGCAGAGATAGCGTCATTTTCTTCGATGTAAGTTGTGTCTGATAAATTTTAATAACTAAAATATATATGGCTCTCCACATCTTCCTTTATAAATACAAAGCTTATATAAACTGCATTTTGAATTAATATTCCCTAGTTAGGCCCATCTGGACGTTATTAAATCTCCATTCTTATCATGTGTCAATATAATAATTGAAAAACTTCTTTCATTCACTATTATTTTCACATATGTCGCTGATTAAACTAATTATAACAAGACGCAAGATGTTTCTAAAATATTCTTGGTAATAATAGAATAATTATGGTAATAGTTTCATCTTTTACGTTTTAAAATCGTCCCACGATACAGTTTTCTAACCTTCGCGCCTTTTAAAACATCCGCTAAGGAAATATAGAGCGGAAAATTAGCAACCGAATACCATCTTGCAATGTATGTTCACGTGTTGTGTGGACGACATTCTCAAGGCTATAAACATTGATCTGCGGAAATCTGTGGTCCCTTCCCTCGGGTTGTTTTGTCGTGGCGTGTCTTTGACTCGTAATTCTAAAACCCAAACCCCGATTCGAACATTTACGCGCATGAAGCGATGTCATGGGTGTTTGGGACAATATGGCGTCCAGTTCGGCAGCCATTCGTGTCTTGTAATGAAGATGAATTGTCTATAAATGGACATTTCAGGGCGGTCAAGTGATGCACACTCGTTTCAAATCGATGAGATCAGTATAAAATAGAATTTAAAATATTCTTCAAAAATAAATAAAATTACTGACTGAAGAGAGGAAGAGATAGTTATTGGGTGCAAAAGGGAAAATAAAAATAGCCATTTGCATTCAATTTTTTATATGAATACAGGACATCATTTGATGTACAGTGTTACGACATGAGAAGAAACGTCCTTTGCAGTTGCTACAGTGGAAATCATCCACATACTGAAAATATACACCATACATATATATATATGAATGTGAACATTGAAGTCAACACTCAGTAGCGACATGCTGTTTCATGGTAGACGCAATCGTCAGGCAGCCGTTGCTTCTAGCATGAAACAGCCTGTCGCCACTGAGTGTTGACTTCAATGTTCACTTTTACATTTATATTTACATACGCTCTATCTCTGATATTGAACACTTTATCCCATAAATATAGCACACATTAAAACTATATATATATATATAATTATTTTTTATAAAAAAAAAATTATAACATAAGTATGTTATAAAATCACTACAAAAATAGCCATTTTGTTTCAACACACTCTGTGTCTTATCAAGTGATGATGTTGAAAATAAAATAAATGGTTTTAAAAGTTTCAGATTAATTAACGATCCTACACTAGGGGGAAACATTGTTACAAAAGCTAGAATAACCAATCAAAAACGAAGTTTAGAAAGATTCAAAAGCTTGACAACGAAATCATGTTATAATAGCTATTCAGATCTTTAAAATACGTGTAATATTAAAAATAATTTATACTAACCAATAATTGTAAAATTATATGATAAAATTTAATATTAAAATTAAAAACTGGCAATTTTAAAATCCAAATTTAATCACTATTAAGTTTAAAAACTGCAAAATTATTGAGAAAAGAAAAAATATATATGTTTATTCAATTCATTTCTTCATTGAAATTACGTTCGACAAGACGCTACAATATATCCGGTCATTTGACAATACATGTATATATATTTTTTCTTTTCTTTTTTTTTTTTTTTTTATTTTAAAGTGTGTGAATGTGGTCTTAAACTCACGCGCAAAACAACAAAACACAATCAGATTATAATACATAAGCACCCAGACATAATTAGATATATACACACACACGCACACACGCACACACACACAAAAAAAGGGGCGAGACATGAACATCTCTACAGCCCTTTATGAAAAAAGGAAACGTCGAAACCAACACTTATACACACACACACACAGTTAAATGTGAATACACTCTACATACACATAGACACCGATAGATACACATACATACATCCACAGACAATAACATAGACAATCAGATACCACAACCAATAAATATTGTTGGTTATTGGAATTCATTCTGTATATACCAATTATATATATATATATATATATATATATATATATATATATATATATATATATATATATAAGGTCTAACAGCAAAATTGTCCAAATTGTGTAACAGCATTACTGTCCATCCCACAAAATATTTAATAGCTAAAAAAACACTAAACTAATTGAGTTTCTATCTTCCAGTTTTTCAGATAAAACATTTAGCTATCTTGACACCATTTATCGTAAGTGATTCTTTAAGTTATTCCCCTGCAACGAGAACAGGTTAAAATCACTTTGTTCGTGCTGTGGGCTTACACAAGACAGGAATTGAGTTAAACAAATATATTAACAGAAATACTAATACAAACATACAAACGAGAGTGTTGCAGCAAGAATGTTCGGTCCGACTGTCAGAGCTAACTGCTGGAAACTTACCTCTCCAAAAGGCAGTACCTGCTCCTATTTATAGGCAGAACCTGCTCCTATTTATAGCCGGAGGAGTTCATGTATACGTGCGTAAACTACTATAGTTATCCCCACTATGACTTCCCAACTGGGCAATGGTGAGAGAAAAAAGATCATTCAAATCTTCAGTAATGGTACCTACTTTTCTACTCTGGCTTCCATATTCAAAGTTTATTCAAGAACCGTCAAGAGAATGGTGAATAAGATTAAAAAGGAGGGAACAGTATAGCGGAAAACTGGATCAAGAGGTCACAACAGGAAGAGGGCTCATTAACTTATAGCTAAATAGATCAATTAGAAAAGATCCAAATCAATCTATAAGACGTTCGGCAGGTAAGAAAGGAGATTCAGCTATGACAGTCCAAAGAGCAGTGATAAAAAGACTTGAAAATGAAATCTTACGTGAAATCTGTGAGGCAACTTGTTATTCCAGGACAGAAAGTTAGAAAGTTAGAGAGGACAAAGTTCATCTTGAATGAGTTGGAAAATTAACAGGAAATAATATATGTATATATATTTAAATTTTATTTCAATTCTTCATAAGCCTCCGATCCTTAGCTGTGATTAATGAATGATTAACATGTTATTTTTGTTTATGATCGATCTCATCACGAGATTTTGTTAAGCTTGGAGAGTAATTATACATTCTTATTGCTCAAAGTAGAGTACATAGAGTTATAAAATCCTCATAAAATTCCAATAAGATACATTTAATCATTTCTAAGATACAATGGTTAAAACTAACAAATGGACAATTTTGCTTTTACACGATTTGGGCAATTTTGCTGTTACATCCAGTATATATATATATATATATATATATATATATATATATATATATATATATATATATATATATATATATGGTCTGATGGATAAAGTGGCGTCTAAATTATACAAAAATAAAAATATCACTGACATATTTTAACAGATATATTTACCAAAATTACACAAAAATATCTTGAAATACTAAAGAGTAAATTTATCCAACAAAGGCTTCAACCTCCAGACGACTTCGAAATCTCCTGCAACTCTTCTGGACAGTCTCTTTGTTTAACTTGTTATCCTACCATAATCCTTGCCTTCAGTTTATCTTTGGTGTTACAAGATGTTTTGTTGGTCTCTCGTTCAACTGTGCCATACACACAATAATCAAGGTGGTTGAAATTTGGCCAGATGTAAGGGTGGAAATAATGCAGAAATTGTTTGACAGCCATATCTGGTTTTCCTTCTCGGATTTTTTCAGCAGCCACCCACTTCAGCCAGGGCAGCACTACCCCCTCAAGGCATTTGATGTAGGCCACTGTGTTGAGTTTGAGGCCCTCACCAACAAATTTCAGAGTACGTTTCTCATCAGGGCTATCAGAGTGAGTCTTACGAGCTGCCGTATCTTCGTAATCATCATTAGACTCATCCAACTCTTTCTGAACCCTCTGCACTACCTTCATTCTGAAATGCTTGTATTGGAGCTTCCGGTGTGAATTCCAAGCAGTACGGTTTGTTGTTTCCAAATTTCTGTTAGAATGAACTGTGTCAGGTTGCTCTTTTTCTCACAGACGGTATCCAACTGACTCTACTATACTGTGAAGTCGAAAAAATCAACAACACGCATGCGCGAAATTAAAACTATAAAATGACGGCAATTTAACCATGGAACCTATCTCTTTTTCTTTCTTTCTCTCTCTCTCTCTCTCTCTCTTATATATATATATATATATATATATATATATATATAGTTTATGCAAAATTAGGTAATCCATATGGGTAGACCCGAGGAGGATGATATCCAGAGAGCTCAATGTAAAATTCAGAGCAGATATGTTTGAATAAAAGACAGACCACGTTAAGATTCCATGTAATAAGCTATTTCACCATAACCCCTTTAACAGGGTTCTGGATCATCAGACTTTACTTCCAAAAGCTGAAATGAAAAATGAAAAGAAATTCACACGTTTTTTACGGACCTCATCAAGTATACGTAAAATTAACGAAGTGAGGAAGTGAGGTGGGAGAGAGGATATGAGTGTGTCATATGTATCATTTCAATTTCCTTTTTTAACCCCAGTGTGTCGGCTAGATGTTGCTCAAAAATATATATATATATATATATATATATATATATATATATATATATAATCATTTAATCTAAAGTAAGGGTATAAATCCTCTAAGTTTTGAGGGTTAGTGAGAGTAACAGAAATGTTTTCGTAAAGAAACCACAATAAAAAGAACTGAATAAAAATAAATAGAAAATGACAATTGACGTTTACAACAAGCAAGAAGCCGGAAGTAGATTTTAAGTGCGCCATCGTTGCTACCGAATATGACGCAAGGTCGCCATTTTAAAGTGGCTTAAAAGGCAAAACCGTGAAAAATTGTCCAAGCTTCTTCGACACTTCCCCTTTTGGGTACGACTCAGGAGCCAGGTAATACCACTGCCCCCTCTCGTAGGAGAGTTACCTTCTCAGATGTGTCCCCCTGTGTTTTAAGCATAATATTATATTGAAAATATCCCATCCGAAACCGGGGGATTAAGCAAGAAGGCGGAAGAGAGTTCCACAGGCCTGAAATGCGCGAAAAAAAAACTATGAGAATCGAACTAACGGTTATACGTGGGGCGTTCAAAAAGTTCTAAGCCTCACTTCTTCTGAATTGGAGAAACAAAACAGTGTTTCACTATTTTTCATTATTGTGTCCTGTGAAATCAATGCACTTACCCAACGATGCTGAAGCGTTGTAATCCTATCACGGAAGGAGGTGGCGTCCTGGGCCTCCAAAAAAACCCTGCACAGCAAATATTGATCTCATCATTGTTTCCAAAATAGCGATCACGCAGGTGGGATTTGAGTTTAGAAAACAGGAAGAATTCAGATGGAGCTAAGTCTGGTGAGTAAGGGGGATGAGGTGGCAATTCAAACCCACAATTGATTGTTTCAGCTACTGCAACCTGAAGAATGTAGATTGGAGCATTATCCTGGAGCAAAAGCATAACTGCCCTCAGCTTCCCGCTGTGTTTCGACTTGATTGTTTTCTTCAGTTGTTTTAATTCTCGTGCATAGTACTGTCCATTTTAATTTTTTATTTCTTATTTTCTATGTAGTCTATCATGATTATGTCTTCAGAATAAATT